GTTTTTGGAGAGGCTCAAACAGTCAGGCTGACTGTCAAATTTTGTAACAGTGTCGAGTGTGTCCTAATTATGACAGGGGTTTTTCTGTCTACACATAAAGGTAAGTTGAGAGTCCAACCAGACCACGGAAACGGAGACAACGTAAGTGACTTGGTGCCCTTTAATGTTAGGACGGCATAAGAGTAGTACATAGTACTACTTCCAAGTCCATTTTGTGCCAATTACATAATATAAATAATGAGTTATATATTACTGTTGAAAACTCTCATCCGTTAGATCCGTATAAATTGTTTTACTTAATTTGTATGAATACTGCCGGCCGCCTACCTGACTCTAACAAAACAAAAAAGGGTAAAAAAAAAAACGACCCCACGGGAATCACCGACGCACTAAATGTTTAGTTGAGGGAAAACTACATAAAATCAAAATGAAGGAATCATACTCAACCTTAATAAAGTAGACAATAAGAGAACAAAAAAGTAGTACTAGTATTTTTTCCGCACACGGAACCCCTTTATGAACAAATGTACTCTATTGAATCTGATTCTTCAGTCTGCTCTCTCGAGTAGGAGTAAGAAGGACAAATCTTGTTGAGGAGATACATGTAATCGTGAGAGCAAGTGAGAGAGAGAGACGAACGAGCGAGTGTGTTTTACGCGGAGCACGGTGTGTGTGTCGGTTCGATACTGTGTGTTTCCTGGGTCTTATTGAAATCTAAGGACATAGGATAATAAAAGCTACCGAAATAACATACTATACCTGTCGTACTTGTCTAGCGGTGAGGTGACGTCCAAAATGTTGATTTCTGGTGTCGATGCCGTTTTGTGTCGTACACATGTCGAGTACACATGCCGAGACTACTGAGACGGAACCATGTTTTTCTCACTTTTGTACCATGCCTCAAGTAACTAAAACCCGAAGAGAGTTATTCGTTCACCTTACCTAAATTATTACTTCGTGACTGTGTCGCGAGATGTTTAGAGTAAGTGTCGTTGCGTTTGAGGCCAAGTTCCCGAGGCACGATCTCGAAAAAAGTCCAAGTCTTGGCCCAAGAAGCCAAATCGAGGCGAGAAAAGTGTGACAGGTTCTTAGGTTGAACCACGTACCGTAGTAACCAAGTAGCAAACGCAGAACTGCATTGGCAAACGCAGTACTGCATTGGCAAAACCGCAAGTACTGCATTGGTAAACGGAGCTAGAAACTACCTTAGAGTACACAGTTGATCCGGAGTCCTTTCAGTTAACGTGTTTCATAGTTAGCTTAGCTAAGCATCAACCTAGCACTGAAATATATGGATGTTATGTGACAGTATTTCTGAGAAAAAGTCAGCTGAAATGGTGGCATAGTTGCCACTGCTTTACGTGTCAACAGCATGTTTGAACATTTGCAGCAGTACATTTGGCTGTTTGGCCACTGACGTTGCCATAACAACACCTGAATTTAAATGTGCAACCTCTTTTTGTGACAGATTTTTGCATGAAATTATAATTCTTCTGAATGATATTCCTATTGACAGCTAGTTTCTATGAGAACATTATGAGATGGACAGCCAGAGAGAATAAATGAAAAACAGTTATGAAATACTATATGACAAAACAAAAATACAGTTTAAAAGGGGAGTAATTTGTAAAATATCCATAAAGAAAAATCTGTTTACAGTTCTGTTTCGGGTGTTGAGAGATGTATCCATAGATCTCTTAAGTTTGCTCTCAAAGTGCACCAGATTGATGCATTTAACTTCAACATTTAACAAAATCTTCCCGGGGGAGCATGCCCCCGGACCCCCCTAGAGGATGTGAGGTCCACCACCTGCCCACACCCCCGTCAAATTGTCTCACCCACATTGAGGATGCTTCCTACGCCCATGGGCTTAAGAGACATCAAAAAAAATATGAGAACAAAAATAAAGTCAGGAAAACGGGTCCGTTATCTTGGTTAACTTGTTTGTATTCCGTATTAGTATTGTGTCTAGATTAGTTTAGCATTACGTTGACTGTTGTCCTCCAGTATATCTGTGTTTTTTAACAGTCTCTTTTGGTTAGCTTGTCCACCACCTTGACAGTGAGGGTTGTTTTGTTGCTTTTGTTTAGTATCTATTTCTTTGCATTTAATTAGGCTCCTTTTTTAGAGTCCTCCCTTTGTTGGTTCCTCATTTAACCCTGCGCCCTTTTTGGCCTTTTAGTTTGTTAAAGGCTGCTTGCCTGCCATTTTCAAACCCCTCTGGGCACAGGTTCAAACCCCACTGCAGTCAGCATGTCGTTGTGTCCCTGGACACTTCACCCCAAATTGCTCCTGTGGGGATTGTCCACAGTATTGAGTATGTAAGTTGCTTTGGATAAAAGCGTCTAACAAGTCACATGTAATGTAATGTAAACTCATTATAATTATTACCAATTCCAGTTGGTGTGTGTTGCATTTCCTCATCCCTAGTGGGGACGTAACAATGTGGCATACACCATAATGTCGCTTTACAAAGATACAAAGTGAGCCTTTCTGTTTTTTCTCTTCAAGTTTTCTCAATGGAAGGTGCATGGTTGAATAATAAAAACAAAAAGTAGAGCAGTGTTAGAAATTGAGGGGGGGGGGGAATGCCCGAAAACTGCAAATGAGAAGAAACATTTCCACGTTTTTTTTTTTTAGACATATTTATAAGTTCGTCTGATATTCTAATCCCACATTATGTGCCATCTTCACCTCTGGTAACCTGCAGGTCAGAGATTTCTCCAGAAGTTAAATGGAATCCAGTTGAGGCTCAAATTAGGGTTTATGTGATACCATTTTCATCACGTTTTGTAGTGTCTCTTAATTAAATGTAGTTAAGACAAGCTATTGTGTTTACATCAAGCTGTGTCTGTTTCGAGGTAAAACTGAACTAAGCAGTGTGCTTGAGACTTGGCTGTCAGAAACTCCTAATAGTTTCCTGATTGTATTCTCTTACAGTTTTCCTCTTGCAGGTGTCTGTGCAGCAGTTGTAGTTCCACCTGTTCACCAGCAGAGGGCGCCCTGCTGCAGCTGCAGCTTTCTCAGATTCCTCAGGTCAGACGTCGAAGAACAACAGGAGTTGTATTACTGCAGCGTGAAAATAGATTATAAACTACTATACCTATGTAAATTTGTTCACTGCTTGCGTTCACCACAATGACAGATCTGAGGTCAGTCGATGCAGCTGCGTTAAATGTCACTGATGCTGCCGATTCTCTCTGCACAGCTGACGAGTGTAGCTGCAAATAAAGTACCATCGTCCTCCTCATAACATCACCATGGTGACGAGGCTGAGAGCTGCTGCCGTTGAGACACTTGTTGCTATGGTAACTGTCACGGGGCAGGCCTGAAGAGCCAACATGGCCGCCAGTGACTAAACTCAGAGATGCTGTCTGTCAATGTTCCCTGCCGAGTTTGAGATTAAAAAACAACAACCAGGACAATAACTGAACATGTGGGCCAGGTTTTTTAAACATAGTTGTTAAATCAGCTGTGAAATGGAAGGAATTGACATTGAATTCCTTTGCAGCTGTTGACAGAAAATACATAGAATATAGGCTACTTATTGTTTCTTTACTACAGTGAGTACAGGGAAGTGCGCTCTTTAAGAGAGATATAACTGCTCAATGAGGATAATCATATTCAGCCTTACCGTACCCCAAAACTCATCTGATTATGGAAGGCAATCCATAAGTATAGGCAGTAGGCTATGTAACAAGACGTTTGACTAGACATAGGAAAAGACCACCTGTTTCATAGACTTTAAAGTCTTAAAAAGAAAAGCAAGACACATCTTCAGTCCTCTGTATGAAGCACTCTTGCTGTAAGCTGCAGAAACCACATAGTTTGTTGTTTTTTAGCTGTTCACTTTAAGTCATGTGTTTCAAATACATCATCATTTATTCACTAAGGCTTTTTCTAGAAAATGTACATCGTTGCCACTCAGGCTCTTTTATGCAAACAGATGGATGCAAACCCTTGTAGCGTAACAGCAAAGTCAGCATATACACAACACTGACGGCTTTTATTATTTACACCTGTGCTTTTCCTTTTGTGACATTTAAAACCCCACAATTTGAAGGCCATTTCTGGTTATAAAACTAACTACATATCTGTCTTCACTCACCCTTTTTTAGCTGTGGGTCATGTGCTTCAAAGAACCCTGAACTGTGTGGCAGCATGTGTCTGTTTTCACATCACGCTTTGATTCCCAAAATCTGCATTAGGCAGGATTTTCAGACCCAGCTGTCCTCTCACTCTGAATTTATGAACTCAGCAGAGCGTCTCGTCCCCACAAACTCGCTCCACATTAAGGGCCGATCATAAAATCCCAAACAATCTGTGTATTTAACAGCTTAGTAGTCAACTGTTTATTTATATCCTGTTCGTTTATGTCATACCAAAGGGACATTACTTTACTTTACTTAGATCTTGGTGTTTTGTCACAACAAAAACTAAATTAAAGAAATGTCAGATGATTCAATTTTTGGTGGAAATAATTAATTTATTACAAAATAGGTTGAATTTGTACCCTTGTAATAAATGCATTGCAGTAATTTGTTTGCGTAATCAATTATTTCACTCTTGCTGAAAATACATTATTGTCCTAGTGAAATAACCTCAATTGAAAACACATTGTCCAATTATAATTAATTAATATTCGCTTTGTTCAAAATGTAGTTTTCAATGTTTACTATCATTCATTCACAAAGGTTTTTTCAGGACTTTTCCCAGAAGATTATTATTAAAAAAGAATGTAATAGAATTGCATAAATACAATCATATTGAAATCTTCCTATGTTAATTTAGATGCATGTATTAGATGAAATCAATATGTTGTTGTCTTTGAAACATCATGGTTATAACTTGAGCAGAAACACTAAACAAAAGGCTTATTGGAGGAGGATTTGTCCCAAACATTAGGTAGGTCAGGTGCAACACAAAATCCACAATGTACCTTTTTAGATTTAATTTATCAAACAAAAATAAACTCAACAAGGATATTTTTCAATTTTCACAGTTTACTGACATTGTTTTCAATTATTTTTGGGTGAGATCCATCAGAAATCTCATGGACACCATGATTCAAATTTCATTACATTTGTGAGGTCACAAGGTGCATGGAAACACAAACAAAAAATACAAAAATCCCTCGTTGTCGCCTTCCTGTCTCATCTTGAACTCATTGCACACACACTACCTCCTTCTCTGACATCATACAGACACAAACCTGAGCACGACACGTTGAGCAAAAACACAACAGACTGCGACCAGCAGATTAAAACTAGACGTCTGATTATTGCACACAGCCCTGAAAGAGACAGAAACAGTAAAAACCCCACAATTCAGGACCAGATTCACAAAACCTAAACAACATAGTCTCACGTGCCCTTTTAAAGTTGAACTCTCTTAAATAATTATTCAACATTTTGTGAAATATACCCATTTAGGTTTGCTCAGAGAGTGAGCCACAATGCTGAATATTAGTCTCTTCTCTGTTAAAATGCAGGAAATATTTCTTGTTCGACAGTCAATGCAAGGACTGTGAAATCACATTCCAGGAAATGCGATATGGAATAAACATTCAAAATCAAACTTTGTGCTAAGCTAGGCTAACCACCTCTCTATAAACTTTGTATTGAACACACAGGCATGAGACTTAAAATTATCTTTTTATCTGACCTTCCAAAAAATAAAGAATGAACACATTTCCCCTCAATCCTTCATGTCAAAATAAAGAACAAGAAACACATCTCGATAAAGATATTGTTGTATCGGAGTAATCACAGCTATGACATTACTGTATAAAGTTTCCCTTTTAAGAATTTTCCTGGGTGTGGAGGGTGGAAAAAACGTTAGTTTGACCTCAGATAGACAGATGATGAGTTAGATGCATGCTTCACAGAATGCACTGTAACCAGCCACAACATAGTCACATGGCTCCCTCAACACAATTTAACAAATTAAATCATACGTGATTTCGAGCTCCACTTCCTCTTAGATAATATGTCAAAATCAAAGCTGTGAAAAATAGAGGACGATGACTTGAGCACTTATGACACTTGTTTAGGCAATCATTGAAATGCTTGTTCTGTGCTAATCAGGAGTTAGCATGCTAGGTTTAGTTTGTCATAATAAAGCTTGCTTATGCTAACAGTTGATTTTACATTACATCTATATACATACTGTACACAAGCATAGCAGGTTGTTGGTGAAAAGCAGAGTTCATCTACTGAAGGCAAAATAAAGGAAAAAGTATATAAAACTAATATAATTATAAAATATACTTTTACATCATACAGTGATTGTTGTTCTAGATTGTCTACAAACCAAAGTTATACAATATCTTTGGCTAAACACGACTAATACGTTGGTATCAAACGTTATACTTTCTCTCTTTCTGGCACGCGCACACACACACACACACACACACACACACACACACACACACACACACACACACACACACACACACACACACACACTTAAAAAATAAACCTTAAATATATTCATTTGACGAGTCCAACTTTGTGACCTGTAAACGGTCTTGATTTCCTCCAAACCTCGACAGAATATGAAAATAAATTGACATTATCTTATTTTGACAAAATTGCATTGAACAGTTTCAGTATATACATTAAACATATCATTTCACCCTGATTAGTCTCAGATTAATGCTGCCACCCATATCGTCTTCTGGCATGTATGTGACAAGATATATCGATATTTGTCACCAGTGTAAGCCCAACGTAAGTAAGGAAACTTAAGGACTGTTGTTGTGATGATCCGGTAATCACTTCAAAAGAATAGGATTATATTTAGTAGAAAGAAAAGCTACCTGAGATTCAGGCTGGATGAGAATCTTATTGAGTCATTTAAAGATCAATTACATCTTCATTTCATTTAGATGAGAAGAGTGATACCTATTTGACATAATGCAATAAGAAGCTACAGCCAGCAACTCTGTATCGTAGTTGACCATATAGGCTCTAAACAATGGGAAGCATTGTCCAAAGGTAAATAATATCTGCCTATCAAATCCTCTAAAGCTTAAAAATAAACATGTGTTCTCACATGTTTAGTTTCACTGGGAGCTATTACTGCTTTAGGATTTTTTCAAACTGTATATAAATTCAGAACTAGTAAACTGAACAGCGTTTTGGTATTTGGTATTGACCAATCACATTTGGGTAGGATTTGGTGGCATGAAATAGAGGCAGAAAACGTTTGCTGAAATACAATATCGGAGCTCATCGACAAACTGCAATTTGATTATTTCTAATTGAAGCTGAATAATTCAAAGTTAACTGACTCTAAACTGGCTACTTCAGTCAATCAAGCATCAATCACCTCGTCTCTTAACTCCAACTCCATCCTCATATCTTAAGTTAGTAACTGCTACTGTAAAAAATAGTGCTTGAAAGAAGTCTGTCTATCAGGCTTATCATCTTCAGACAAATTGACGTATGGTCCCAAAATGGCCTGCTGGAGGATTTATCTAACTAGCCTACCTTCTTCTGGTATGTATGCTAAGTAAGATAACAGTCCAATGGCTGTAGCTTCATATTCAACATACATTGGGATCAATATTCTCATCTAACTTAATGCGAGAGAAAACAAAGAAAGGGTCGTCCACAAAATGTCAAACTATGGCACCTAGGCAACCCTTGATTTGAGAACAGATATATAAATCTCTTTGGATAGCTATGATCACTAAATGCAGCAGCATACTAAGAACTAAATAGAAACCGGATTGAACATTGCTGCATGGAGACCTGTGAGCCCACCCTAAATATCTTATTCATTTGCACTCCAAGTCTGTGAGAGATCAAAAGGGTAAACAACCCGGGATGAAAATTGTGAAAGTGGTGCCAGAACAACAACAACAGTTTGGTGCAACAACATCAAAGTGGATTTAGAGGCTGTTTGATCATCCTCCAACCGGCTTACAATTTTTATAATTTCACCCTAAAGTCACCCTTTTGACAATTTATGGCACAGAGACGGAATCAAAGGCAGTTAAACCAGATAAAGGAGATGTAGAAACGTTTTCACAAGGCAACACAACCGACGTGTGTTATTTCAGATTAGTCACAGGCGGTCTGGTGTGTGAAGAGTCCGACTGGTGCGTCCAGTGAATCTGTTAATGATGCAGAGTCTGAAGCTCGTTAGTTTCCTTTACTCGTACAAACCTGCAGAAACTCATTTCTATAGCAATCTTTCCATCAGAAGTTTCTTGTTCTTGTCAGACTGTAGCCTTGGTTCAGTTCGTCAGTTTAGGTTCTCCAGCGATAGGAAGATGCCATACATTTGTGTTCATTTGAACCTTTTTTTTTGGTCTGACCCCCGGTTGCAACTTTGGCCATGTTGTTCTTATAATTCTGAAACCCTATGAATAGATACTTTTATGCTCTGATGTCCAGACTTTCATTGATACAGTAAATGACCAGACTAAGACCTTTTTATTGTATTTAAGTCCAATGTAGTTGCATTTTTACATTTCTGTTAATCTGTTTAAGCTCATGTCTGCAAGCATCTATATAAGCATTTGTTTATTTAAAAAATTGTAACATTTCACATTGCATAGACTGGTGCAATGCAATGTGAAAATGGCACTTAACACTAGTATTGCCAATCCGTTTAAGTGTAACACCAACTCAGCAGCTCTACCCAACTTTTAGCCTTTTTTAAGTCATTGTTTTGGTTTATCAGCTATATATTAAATTGGTTGATACCCTCAGACTCCCCCTATCCTCTCCATACATTGACTATGCAATTGGTAGCAGCAAAGGGTTTAAAATGATCTAATTTAAATGTAATTGATGGATTCATGACTTCTGTCTCCAAAAATTAGTCTTTCTGATTTGGTCAATTTAGTGCAGACATTTGCAATTTTAACTACGCAAACCTTCTATGAATCTGGGCCTGAGTGTTGTATTGGATACTTTCTTAAATCATCATAAATATAGGAATGTGTATCATGAGTTTTCCCAATCAGACGGTTGTAACTGATAACAGAGGGCTGGGACAAAGCTGACTGTCGCTCTCCACTCGAGTCCCGTGAGTCAGCAGTTCTTCAACAGTTGTCCAATCATCAAGCAGTTTGCGGTTCCTCAGTCGGTTCTGCTTCATGTGGCTCAGCTCCAGCACAGTTTGAGACGACAGCGACCCCTGAAGACCCCCGCCATGCTCCTCCCCTCCCCTCCTCTCTCTGTGTTGCCGTGATAACGCAGCATGGCGTCTTCTTTCGGTGCGGCTCCAGTATCTCCCAGCCCATCGTCCATCCTCCCCGTCATCATCCCTTTCTCTCTCCCCCTCTCCTCGCACGTCCTCATCTGTTGTGACCTCGCTGCGTTCCCTGGCCAATCGGTAAGCTCGTGCTCTCAGGAGCTGGTTCCTGACTGACTTCTGATTGGACAGTCTGGAGCGTGGAGAGGGGGGAGAGCGAGGGTGATGTTGCGGGGCTCCCAGGGTGCTGTAGTAAGGAACAGAGGGAGCTGTAGGCATGCCGGGGCGACTCCCTAAGGTTTGAAACCCGCGCCAGTCTGACGCTCCACTGGAGCCGGACCCAGGACTCTTAGAGAAGGAGTCCTCCTCTCTGCTCCGGCTCATGCACTTGCTGTTTCTCAGTATGTTCTGCTGATTGATCATACTGGTTCTGTCGATGCTGAGGTGGTGACTGGTGGGGCGAGAGTTACTGGGATAACTGGCCCTGCTCCTCGGGCCCAGCGTGTTGCTGGCTGCTCGCGGTTGGCTGCTCTGGAGAATGTTTGGATCGGCCATGTTGGGATGACTGGCCCTGCGGGGGCGCTGGCCTTCGCTCAAGTCTGTTATTGTTTGACTCCGCACGGGAACCCCTATCCTCCCGCCACCATGCTGTTGCTGCTCCAACCACAGCGCCCTACGCTGGCAAGGCTCAGTATGACAACCTGCAGACAAAATAAGTAATCAGGTCTGAAGTCTTACAATACATGTCCATACATACTTCTCCATTTAGTCATTATAGCAAGACTTGTTTCCAGGGAAAACTCTGCACTCAATACCTTGAAAAACATGTTGGACCACCTTTGGCCCTAACACCTAACAGTTACCTCAAAGTAGGGATGCTCCGATCGATCGGCCGCCGACCGATATCGGCCAATACTCACTCTCTACCGATCGATCGGTGCTCTCTAAAAATGCCGATCGCGAGAGCCGATTGCATGACGTAAAATTATGACGTAAAATACATGACACTTTTCTCACTGCGCGGCAAAACCGTTCTTATTATACATCCATGGGCAAAACAAGCTCGCCAAAATGGCTTCACCAGTCTGGCAGTATTTTAAGGTGTCCGAAAAGGACAATAAAATAGCGGTATGCAACGTCTGTGAAGCAGAAACAATCGCTGTGACGGACCGGTGAGCGGAGCGAAACACACACAAGAGTTAGACCTAACACACTTGCTATTTTATCTACCTCTGGAACAAGCTATACTAGTTATACATATATTTATTCTTCACAGTCGGGTCACTCATTACTGGATCAGTGAGCTGCATGAACGATACTGACAGGCTGTCAGGAGAGAGAGAGGGAGAGAGAGAGAGAGAGAGGGAAAGAGAGGCTCCCGTTATTTCTCCCGTGTTATTATCCAAAGTTAATGTAAACTTGAATAATGTACTTCATTTGAATGTAATAATTATGTTGGTTGTTGTTTGTGGAAGCTCCAGTGAAGGAGCCCCATTAACTGGGTTTTAAACATCACTTTAAATGGAAGATCCCCATAGGCCCCGCCCACTCGATCGGATCTGCGATTGGTATCGGCCGATACTGATTCCGGCGATCGGCCCCAGAATTGGCGATCGGAGCATCCCTACCTCAAAATGGTCTCGAAAAACTACCTGTAGCTTTTTGGTGTTAAACAAGACAACAAAGACATTGATGCCTCACAAAACTGCCAATGTTTATGGGATTTATTGGAATGGTATCTAAATAAATCAAGGACTCCATTCGTCCCAAATGTAGATTTTTATGTTACAGGATCAAAGGCTGAATAACAGGAACATATCTCAAACTACTCCTTGATTGATGTTGCACCATCAGTCATGTTCATTCATCCCCTTGAAGGAAAATGGTGACCATGAATGATTCAGCATTGTCTTGTAAGATGTTATGGTCTGTCTTTATGCAAATCTACAAATGTTTTGAATACCATACATAATAGTTAAATATATTATATATATATTTTGGTTGTGAGGAGCACTCCTACTTCTCTGTTTTTAACAACTTTTCCTTGGCAGTTTCTGTGCTTCTTAATCGGGTATATGCAGGGAAAAATAAGAAGATACCAAGTCATTATCATAAACTTACATGCATGTTCCCTTACACTCATATACTTTAAGTAGGTATGGACCGAACATTTTGAACGATTCCTAAAACTCTGACATTATAATCTGGTTGATAGTCCTTCTGATGTTATGGTTTTACGAATCTGTAAAATATGGCATTAGGTGAATATAAAATAAAATAATAATAATTGGAGGGCTTTACTTACCAATGGAAGGGGAAGGTGGTGAACGGTGGCGAGGTAAGGTGGGACTTCTCTCAGCTCTGTGGAAGTGAACTGTGGTGGTCGTGCTGTTACCCACAGTGCAACGGGACGCCTGTGGTGCTCCAGAGTGATTCATTTGAGTGGTCTCTGGGATGGACTCCAAATCCCAGCGTCCTCTCTGCTCTCGAGGGGACTGACCAGAGCGAAGATGGTGAGTTTGTCGATGGGCGTGGCTTCCGTGTATCTTATGCAGTCGCCTGTGCTCCCCGGTGCTGACGCTGTGGAAACCCGAGTCGCTGGGTTCAGACGAGATGAGGGACTCGGAGGAAGAGGAGGAGCCTTGGGAGGAGGCGGTGTGACCCGGCAGAGAAGACATGGCGTCTGTCTCTGCCTCGGAGAACGCCGCCCGGTGGTTGGGACTGTCGGGACCACATCCAAGCCCACTGTCCAGCTCACTGAGGGGGAGGTATCCCAGATGACGATCAGACCGCCAGGGAGGCTGGTAGTCCTGCTGAAGAGCAAGTAAGAGAACATTTCAAATCAAAGTCAACTTTATTGTCAATCTTTCAGTTTGTGTGTATAGACAGAGAGATCGAAATACCGTTTCCCACAATCCTGAATACAAAAATACAAATATGTATAAAATATGTATATCCTATATACAAAATCAACAGACGCATTTATACACATGCACACATTAAGATAAAAACGCAACAATCAATATATACAAAATAACAGTCACAAATGAATTTATTCAAAGAGATTTGTTAAACAAGTGCAAAGGACAACCAAATCAGAAGTACAATGGCTTTGATTCCATCACTGAAAATACCTGTCTGGAGAAATGATTGGGCTCCATCTCTTCTGTGTTGTAGCAGCCAATCAGACAGCTCTCTGAGTTAGGCTGGTAGGGCAACATCTCTGGAGTCTGGAATAGAAAAAAGAGATCAGAAATGAGAAATTATTCTCAAATCGTTACTTGTGAAATATATAATAGCAATCCCTAGAATGAATTCAGAAGACAATACAATAAAACAAATCACCTGGTAGTCCAGTCTGTCCAGGTGATCTAAGCTGTAGGAGACGCTGGGCAAGTAGCTGTTCCCCTGATGCTGATCATTGGATGATCTAGGCAGGTATCCATTGGGTGGATAGACATCAGACATCATCATGTGACTGTTGGCCGAGTACAGGTCAGGTGACACGGCCATGTGACCATAGTAAGGCCTGTGTGGAAGAAGCAAGTAGGTCATGTTTTATAAGAAGGTGATGTCAAGGGAAATGTATAAGAGGGTAAGCGCCCAGATCATGTGGGTTTCTTTATTATTGACACATTTGCATGGATGTAAATAGTTCTTGTTTCCATGATATGTACATTCCTCTATGAATATTTTGTCTTCATGCTCATGTATAATCAAAGCATGAGTTGCACTGACAGCTGCCTCAGCAGAACAACCTATCCCTCATGAATATTTATAAAAGCGCCAAGAGACTCAATGCAATATCATGCTGACCCTGCAAACTGTAGCCTGAAGTGAAAAGCTTTTTCCCTATGTTTGAATCATCAATAGATGCAGAAGTAGAGGTCTTCATTTTATGTATTTTCCTTAAGGCTAAGGCCACTTTTTACTGCAATACAAACTTTTACGTCAGTCCAATACTTTTTGGCCCATTCTAAAAATCGTACCCTTGTCCCACACGTCCAGACTTTTAACTTAGTTCCAAATTTCCCTCCCATTTCCAAAATGATTACCTTGTCCAAAGCTCTAAACAACTGTTAACCCTAACCCCCTATTACAATCATTTACCCTAATCTCGAACATTAACCTTATTCCCAAATATGTAACTAAGAAAAAAGTCCAACGCTTATTTAGATTACTTTCTTCTTGCCTTTACTTAGGACAACCCGAGATTCATAATTTAGTCCCTTTATCAAACTAAGGCTTAAAGGTTATGCAAAATCCACTTCTTCATGTCTCTTCTTCATCAACATGTGTCCCCTCTGTGTAAAGAGACTCTGAAAGTTCCAGGAACAAAGATTCTCTCTCTTTTTGTCCTGATCCATTTCTATAAAAACCTGTCTGAAAATGAGCTGATCAGATTTTGGCCACTTTATGATGTCATAACGATTTGTTGGCTTGTGTAACCATTAGCCAATCAGCAACCAAGGTAACCCCCCCCTTATCACCTGAATCTCCTCTAGAGCACCATGGAGTTCTTTTTAACCAAATCTCTCTCAGAGGGGCGTGGGGAGGGGCTCCTTATTTTCATCTAAAGTAACAGACAGAGAATCAGCACTTTTGAAACAGGGCTGAAACAGAGGGGATTATGGGTAATGCTGCAATGATCTGTTTGGGGTTTCGAGGCAATTGAGACATGTTCTGTATATATCTGAGACCTATAATAAAGTAATGAAAAACAGTATAATAGGGGACCTTTAAACTCTTTACCCCAGTCCCTAAGCTTCCAACAGTACCCACCCTACAGTGTATCCGTCTCCCTGGCCCCCCTCTCCCTCCATCAGCCCCATGGCTCTCAGGGCCTCCCAGTGTCTCTCTGTTGGGACGCTGAACTCCGGCCCGCATCGAGACCGCCGCCTCCTGTGACCATGATCCCTTCTTGCCTCCACCTGCATTGTGATTGGCTGGCCATACTCATCCACGAAGTGCAACTCTTCCCGGTGTTGGTGCTGCTGAGCCGGTTTGTGAGTCTTGGCCTGACGAGAGGGAACAACACATATCAGGATTTGGACTATACTTGCAAGGAATGCTTTACTGTAAAACAGGGGTGTCCAAACTTTTCTCACAGAGGGCCGCATACAGAAAAATATAAGAAGAATATATCACGTTTTTAGTTTTGTATGCTGTTATGGGTGTTATCTTGTAATTCTGTTCTCCCTGTCTCTTGTCTTCCTTCCTGTGTTTTTCCTCCTGTGTCTGATTGTCTGATTGTGTTCACCTGTTGCCCTTGTGTTTCTACCTCCCCTGCCCAGCTCTTGTCCCGTGATTACCCCTCCCTGTATTTAGTCTTGTCTTTCCCTGTGTTCCCCTGTCGGTTCATTGTTTGTTTTCCCTGTCTCCCTCCATGTCAGTCAGGGTCAGTTTTTTGGTGTTATTGTAACCTTGTGCAACCTGAGTTCTTCATGCCATGTTTTTTTGTTTTCATCGGCTTTTGGAATAAAGCTCGCCTTTTGTTTATAGACCTTTTACCTTTTTGTAGTCTGCATTTGGGTCCTACCTTTTCCACGATCCTGACAAACAGAAGCTTCAGATTGCTTATAATAAGAGGAAATATGAAGGCTATATTTCAAGTTTGTCATGTAGATTTTGTTACTGGGCTTTTTTCTTATCAACTTAGATTTGTTAGAACATGTTTTCAACTTTAATTGTCTTTGAATTTATTTGAAAATTGGGCTTATTAACACATGAATACTGTGTAATATACCGGTATTTGAACATATATATTTAAGGAGTACAATATAAGACAAGCGGAAGTTTATTATACTTAAGTCATTATACTTTTTTTATTTGCTGAGTGAGGGCCGATTCAAAATGGTCCATGGGCCGCTTCCCGTGGTTTGGACGCCCCCTGCCGTAAAACATTTAAAGACCAAATATTAAAGATACACATGCCGCAAAAAAAGTAGTTATATAAGTACACATTCCTGCTATTTGTATGTCTTCTCAGCAGTGGCAGCGCCAGGGTATGGCTGGGGGTAGGCTACAGCCATACCAAGAAATGGCTTAGCCCCACCATGAAAAATGATGTTAAAGTAACCAGATTCAATTAAATAATAAGCTAAATGGTAAATGTTGAGAACACGGCTTGCAAAAATATCCGGTTTGTGTCCACAACACACAAACTGATCCTGCTGTAACAACAAGTGTACGTTACTGATGCAATATGGTTGAGACCATTCAGGGTTATGCTAGAAGAGGGGTGCAAGGAATAGTCTAAGTAGTGGGGGAGTTTTATACACTAAAGGTGTGGAAATTCTCTGGCGTTATAATATCAGCGCGGCCGCAGTCAGATCAAAATGCCTCCGAATGCAATTTGAATAGACCTACAGTAGTGATGGGCATTTCGATTCCCTTCGGGGACACAAATCTTTTGATTCAGTTCACTTTAAAGATTTGTTCACTGATTCGTTCACCGGTTCGCAAACGACTTCTGGTGATTTGCACGTTCGCGAACGATTCGTCTTTGTACTTAATTCGTTCAGTGAGTCTTCACTACTGCCGAAATCCGTACAAGAAGTTTGCTGGCGTAAAATGTATGATATTAAAACACATTTTACCCTCACCTTGTTGCCGCATGATTTATGCTCTGGGAATAAGCTACAATTTTATTTAAGAAATATAATTGGCCATTGTTAAATCTCATACATTTGTGCCTGACTATACGATGTATTACAGCAGGCTAGCACGTTATACTTTCAAACCCATGCACTTAAACTTAAATCCCAAAGCATTAAACTCCATTTGGCCGAGTTCAAAGCTGTGTGTGTGTGTTTCACATTAGCGGGACGCTATGGAGCTCAGGTATCCGCCCTCTGAAGCTTTTAGGGCCAACAGGGGGAGGAGAATACAACGCTGTGTGTATTTATCGTTAAGCTAGCGGCTAAGCTAGCTGGACGCTACGGTTCAGGTATCCGTCCTCTGAGGCATTTATGGCGGACAGGTTGAGGAGTATGTCCCGCTCCTGTGTGTGTGTGTGTGTGTGTGTAACGGAGCTCTGGTGAGAGGGCTCTGATTACAGTTTTAATCCTCTGTCAAACTGCATGTTTTCCGCCATATTTGATGAGAGAATAACTGAAAAAGTACACAGTAAAATAATTTCATAGTAGCCTACTTGTGGCAGAAGTCCAACTAGTACTGGGTCAAGTACTTCATTATATTTGTGGTATTTGTCTAACTAAGTCCAACTCTGTGTAGATGGAACATCCAGTATTTCGGAGGGGCCCTAACGGGACTCTCCTCTTGAAAGAAAGGGAAATAAGATAAAAGAACTTTATGAAACAGTTCTGAACTGTTTCCGCCAGTTCTTTAAGTTCGCGAACAGCTTCTCTTTAGCTTTTGGCGGAAGGCGGCGACTCAAACAAACAAATCGTTTTGTGGGAGGAATCAGTTCATCTCGTTCACTTCAAAGATTCGTTCAAAAAGAACAAATCGTTTGCGAACGACCCATCACTAACCTACAGCCAATCAGAGCAACGAAACNCCTTCGCATGCTATCAAGCAGTGAGCGTGCGATGTCCTGTTCAGATGACGTCAAATCCAACGGGATGCCATAAATAAACTACACAGAATCACACTACACACCTACGCAATGATTACATTCAGGCACACTGTAGAATACAACCTCTTTGGACAATTGATATACTTATTGAAAACAAGCTACAAAATGTAATACCTTGGGAAATGCCGTTTAATACTTTTTAATAGCCTTCATTTTCGCTAAATTGATTTATCAACTTTTAATACTTTATAAGACCCCGGGGACACCCTGATTATGTCATCCACTACATTGTTTAAATACCTGAATGAGGTCAAACAGCACCAGAGGCAGCATGTCGTCGATGGTGGCCATGTCCTTCGTGAATCTGTTCATGATCCGGCCTGCACGAGGACAAAACACATCGAGAAAATTGAGAACATCCATAGAGTAAATATAGACAACATTGGTATGGTATTTTATAAAGCCAAATATATGTGGGTTACACAAACAGGTGAATACACACTGTTCAGAACAAACAGAAAGCCCTACAAAAAGCAACAAAAAAACTAATAAATAAAATTCGTTTTTTCTGCCGTTGCTGTTGTTTTTTGTGGAAAATTTAATAAATATAACCTAAAAAGAAAAAAAAAAAAATCCCCAAATTCATATATTTTTACTACATTTTTACTATTATTACCAAAAGCCCTGACCTGTCTTCATGGTGTTGAGCACGCCCATGGGGGCGCGCAGCACGGCGCTCAGCATCTGCTCGTGGAGTCTTTTGGACACGGTGAGTAACGTGTGCACCAAAGGAAGTCCTCTGAAGAAACCCAACGCCAGCACGCTCTCCGACGTCGCCACGTAGATATAGATGATGTAATACGCGCTGGTCGGCGTGACGATAACAGCCAGCTGGGTGGCCGGCGACGAGGCGTTCTGCGGCTGCTCGTCGATGTAGTTCGGAGACGAAGGGTTAGCGCTGTCCCTCCAGATCTCACTGTGGATCACAAGGATTATAAATATTAATAATGGTAAAAAAGCAAGAGAAAAAAGTTCAGTAATATAATAAAAAAGTTTAAAAAATAGACACTCAGTAAAATAATAGGGAAATAGGAAACAATTAATAACATTAAAAATAATTTAAATAATTGTAAAACATAATCATTTTTAAATAAAGATAATAATAAATAAAAAGTGTATTTTAGCCTGAGAAAGCAGCACTTCTCATACAGAGGATGCAGCTCACAGTGCTTTCACAATATGCCAAGACTAACAAGATAAGTCTTTTAATATATGTCAGAGGTTTAAGCGTTTAGTACACATGCAGCATCTGATGAAGAAGAATTAGGAGGGAGGAAACCCTCTTTAATGGTCTCACATGCAGAGCACACAGTGACACGTGTTCTCTGCTTTTAACCCATCCTAGTGCCAGGAGTCTAGTACTGGGAGCAGTGGGCAGATATTGTACAGCGCCCGGGGAGCAATGGGAATGGGGGATGTCCGGTGCCTTGCTCAAGGGCACCACGGCAGGACAGGAGGTGAACTGGGACCTCTCCAAGTAGCAGTCCACACTCCATATAAAAGTTCCCGTTCTATATCACAAATATGAAATGTCTGGTCGGGGACTTGAACCGGCAACCCTACGGCTCCCAGTCCAAGCCCCTAGTGACCG